CTTTCAGCTGAGGCTATTGGAAATCAGTTTTCTGATAGCGTTATACTAGATATCCAACAAATGTTTGAGGAATCGGATCCCAAAACACCTTTGATATGTCTTCTATCCATGGGTAGTGATCCCACGGTCCAGATTGAATCACTGGCTAAACGACACAAACTTGAATGTGGAGCCATATCTATGGGTCAAGGTCAAGAAGTTCATGCCAGGAGGTTATTGGGTAGTTGCATGAGTGGGGTAAGTATAGCATTTATCTTCTCCAATTCATATTTACAATGACGTCGCAATCGTACAGTATGTGTTGCTAGTTACAAAGCAGAAAACATAAATTGGAATCATTTTATTAAAAATTATGATTTTAGTTCTGATGTCTCAACACTTATCTCATACATCAAACAGAATAGTAACATGAATTATATTATTGTTTAATACAGGGAGGATGGGTATTACTGCAGAACTGTCACTTGTCTTTAAGTTACTTGGATGAGTTAATGGATACACTTTTGGAAGCAGAAAGTCTCCATGATGATTTCCGCATATGGATTACCACTGAAGAACATCCCAAATTCCCAATCACATTATTACAGGTAATATTTAATGTCTCAGAAGACAATTCACTGTTACATCTGCCTTTAAATAGATTAATTGGAATAGATTGTCGTTATCTACATCTATATTCCAGTAGTTCATGTGTTGTCAATAGCAGTGAGCTCAATGCAAATGTTGACCAAAGCTTTACGTGAGAGTCTAATCATGCAACCTGATTTTATGTATGTCTGATCTCAGAGACCATTGACCTTCAAGCAACAAATATTGTTCTGTGTTGTTTGAGCCCTATGCCACATATACAACACATGTAAAATACATTGTCAGTTGCCATGGATTCAAACATGTGCTGTTGATGACTGTTGAACTTTAATCTGAATTGAATTCTACTCAAACCAAGAGAAATACTGTAAAATATGTCTTAGTAACTGCATCCTTAATAGAAGCTGCAACCATACTTTTTGAACAATTGACAACCATCATTTCTCATATGTGCAAATGTTCTAATAAAAACATCATTCCCTCTGTAAAATTGTACCAGTAACAGAAGCTGTGGCTTCTAATGTAGGTTTTACAGTACATGTAGAATTCTTTAATAAAACAGTCTTGTCCAATTTACTGGATTTCATCATGAGAATATGGAGTATCCAAGACGTTTATTTATTAGTAGTCTTCTGTGAGTAAAGAAAGCATAATGTTTAATTGTATTCACATTGCTAGATGTCAATCAAGTTTACCAATGAACCACCACAAGGTATCAAAGCTGGTTTGAAGAGAACTTACAATGCCATAACACAAGACCAACTTGAAGTGTCTAATATGCCACAGTGGAAACCAATGCTTTATGGTGTAGCCTTCCTTCATACCACTGTACAAGAACGACGCAAGTTTGGACCACTTGGTTGGAACATTCCCTATGAGTTCAATGCTGCAGATTTCAATGCTACAATACAATTCATTCAGAATCATTTAGATGATATGGATATTAAAAAGGTAATTTAAACTTGCTATTTACTTTTTTCACTACTTTCTTGGAATTTTTGGGAAATGAAGTACTATGAAGTTATTGAGCTGTGCAAATGTTTGCACGAGATTGTGTGATGAGATTACATTTCCATCACATGTTGATAGCGCTTCTGCATCAAAAGTAAACAAAGGAAAGTGTTTGAATGTGACACACATCTCTGAATAACACTTCCGAACATGTCTGTATAGCAATTTATGGATAAGTAAATTCTGTTGTTATCGGTGTCAGATGTATTATTAGTGTAGTTATCACATAGCTGCCAATTCCTGTTTGGAGCAAAGTATCTGAAGTTAATGAATTATTAGTCCCTGTTCGGACGAAGTCCGAAAACGGGGACTTATAATTCGGTCTCCGTCCGCGCGTCCGTGTGTCTGTGCGTCCGTCCGGAGTCATATCTCAGAATCCCTTGGGTCGATCCCGTTCATTCTTTGCATGTGCCTAGTACTTTATCTGGGACATATGCACATGCAGTGGTTTAGCGATTCGATTCAAAATGACCGATGGCAGCCATCTTTTTTTTGAAAATGTTGTATTTTGGACATGCTTTGTCAGTTTTCATTCAAATTTAGTACATAGAAAATACATGTTAGGATACATGTCCATGACGATTTATTTCACAATTGGATCAAAGATGGCCGACTGGCAGCCATCTTGTTTTTTGAAAATGTTGTATTTTGGACATGCTTTGTCAGTTTTCATTCAAATTTTGTACATCGATCATACATGTTAGGATACATGTCCCCGACCATCCGTGAGTTCCTGAGTCTGTCCGTCCGTCCGTCCGTTCGTTCGTGCGTCAGTCTGTCAATAGTAATATTTCAGAATCCTGTGGACTGATTCCGTTCATTCTTTGCATATGCCTAGTACCTTATGTGGGACATATGCACATGCAGTGGTTTAGCGATTCGATTCAAAATGACTGACTGGCAGCCATCTTGTTTTTTGAAAATGTTGTATTTTGGACATCTTGTTTTTGTTTTTTTTGCGGTATCTTGGAAGTGCTCTGTCAGTTTTCATTCAAATTTGGCACATACATGTACTTTATACATGTTAGGATGCATGTCCATAACAATTTGTTTCAAAATCTGGTCAAGGATGGCCGATTGACAGCAATCTGACTTTTTGGCCTTACTACTATATTTCCACAATTTATGTATCATTTTCATTCGTATTTGGCACATACATCATACATATCAGATCCTTCAAAAGGGCTTTCAATTGCAAAATAAAATTACAAAAAATACAGCAACTGTATGAAAATCAAACTCAGCATGTATTTATTGTCATATTGCCAGACGTTTTTGTAATGCTAACATTGGAAATTGAGAGTACCATGCTTTGATGTTTTAATATCTATCTTGCAGAGTATTATTATGTTGATTTTTGTCTTAATTTTTGTCAGCCCAAATTACAGGAACATGGTATTCATGAAATCACAACTATTTTCTGTTTGTAGGGTGTCTCCTGGAATACAGTACGCTATATGATTGGTGAAGTACAGTATGGAGGTCGTGTAACTGACGACTTTGATAAACGTCTACTTCTCACATTTGCAAGGGTATGGTTTGGTGAAGTGATGTTTTCACCTGGTTTCAATTTCTACAAAGGATACATCATTCCAAAATGCAACAATGTCGCTCAGTATTTAGAGTATATCAATAATCTACCAGCGTACGACTCTCCAGAAGCGTTTGGCTTACACCCTAATGCTGATATAACGTAAGAACTTGATAACTTATTTCAGAGATTTAATCTGCTTTATTGCAAAATAAAACCATCATTCTGTGAATAATAGGTGATTTTTCTTCACTGACAAAATATTGTGTAATGTGTGAAAGACCCAAATCGAACATCAAAAATTTAATTATTTAATTTTGAGCTTGATCTTTTTTATAGTTTAATGTAGAAATGCCCATCTTTCAGAAAGGAAATCGTTGAGATTAACTTACTTTAGCAAAATTGATTAATGACATTGTGTTGCCTTATAGATATCAAAGTAACACTGCTAAGCATGTATTGGACACTATTCTGAATATCCAGCCAAAAGATAGCTCTGGTGGTGCAGGTGAAACAAGAGAATCTGTTGTGCAGAGATTGGCAGATGATATGTTAGACAAGCTACCAGTTGACTATGTACAATATGAGGTAGGGTGTCACTGACCAATTCTTAATTGTAAGGTTTGATGAAACTGTTCAAAATGTTGTTATCACAATTTATGTCGGCATGGATGCAACTACTAAAATTATGGAACATTTTAAAGCACAGCAAGTCTTTCTAGTAGTGAAATGGTTTATCAAATAAATGATTGTACTTGTAATTTTTGTTTTGACAGGTGAAAGAACGGCTACAGAAAATGGGTATTCTTCAACCAATGAATATCTTTTTACGTCAAGAAATTGATCGTATGCAGCGTGTTATTACATTAGTACGCAACACACTTATTGACCTGAAACTTGCAATTGATGGTACTATTATTATGAACGAGGTATATACATTATCCACAATTCTTAACCACAAGCTGCAGAACATAGCTGCAACATTTTATGTTTTTTGACAATAGTGTGTTGATCATAACCTTGTAGTGAACATTTTCACTTAAAATGTACACTCTCCTGAACTTTTCATTCTTATAACCATGGAACAATGGACATTGCATGGCTAAATAACTGCTTATGTGGCTTGTTCAGTCAGCTACTTACCAGTAGTATTTTTGAGAATCTCAAAAAAAGTGTCTTCTACTCCTACTCCAAAACTGTATTGTGTGAAAGCGTATTTATTAAATTTCAGTACTTCACTTTTTCAATACACAATTTATGACCAGTTTGTGCAAGTTTTTGTTTGCACTTCTCTTGCTCAATATATACAAGATGTATATTCATTTCTATTTCAATTCTTCCCTAGGCATTGCGAGATGCTCTTGACTGTATGTATGATGCTCGTATTCCTGAGAAATGGAAGAAGATATCGTGGGTTTCATCTACACTTGGTTTTTGGTTTACTGAGCTGATAGAGAGAAACAGTCAGTTTGACACCTGGTGTTTTGGTGGTAGACCTAATACATTCTGGATGACTGGATTCTTTAACCCTCAAGGCTTCCTCACAGCTATGAGACAGGTTAGTTAAAGTCATGTACACTACTTACTTTGTATATTTTATATAGTGCTAAAAACATCATGAAGTTGAATTTGATTTGTGTTGTTTGCAACTGACAGTCTAAATTCAAAAAGGTAGCTAAGATAGTAAGGTCAAATATATAATATATACACATACGTTTTGGTGATGTTCTAAATATGTGACTACTACCAGTCTTTGGGGATAGAGACAGGCAGGTAATGTAGACCTACAAAAATAAGACCTGGTCCTACACTTGAATATGGCTTATCTTAACTATGATACAAACATCAGAAGGAACACATCTCACACCAAAACATTTATCATTGGCAAATACCAATCAGAGTTGCTGCAATATTGATTAAACAAAGCTTGTGAAACAGCATCTACGATTTAACAATGAATTAGACTTTTCTATGAACATTGATTTCCAAAATATTGTTCATTCAGAACATGTAATACAGTATTTACTGTATAAAAAAACTAAATATCATTTACAATATTCATTCTGTCAACAGGAGGTAACAAGAGCACACAAAGGATGGGCTTTAGATAGCGTGGTCTTGGCCAATGATGTGACTCGATTCATGAAAGATGACATCTCTCAACCACCTCAAGAGGGAGTCTACGTATATGGGTTGTTCCTGGAAGGCGCAGGATGGGACAAACGTGGTTGCCGACTGATTGAACCCAAGGCTAAAGTTCTTTTTGAGAGTTTACCTGTTATTCACATCTTTGCCATCAATAGCACTGCTGGTCGTGATCAGAGAATGTACAGCTGTCCCATTTACAAGAAACCAACAAGAACTGATTTGACATACATTGCATCAGTCGATTTGAAGACCACACAGAACCCTGACCATTGGATCTTACGAGGTGTTGCATTACTTTGTGACGTGAAATAAGGTGTTGCACTACATTGTTGCATTACAATAAAATTCATAAACTTATTTAGATATATTTATATGTCTAGTTTTTATATATAAATCAGTTTAATAGTTAGTCGTTAAATTGCCTACATTTTTTAAGACACAATAACAATCCTGTTATGGTATGTATTATGATGCTTATATTTAGTAACTTTTACAACAGTCACTCCCATAGCAATTGTTTTATTAAATTCACAGCATGTAATCCCTCCTATTGTATCATAATGTACTTAATCTTTTTAGTTACAATTGTAAATAATAGTACATGTAAATAGTAGTACCAGTAAGTTAATTTGTGTTAATATACATGTATATATGTACTCATTAATACAATGAAACACTATCTGTTATCATAATCTTCAATGATTGAGCTTGTCAGTTAAGTTCATAGCCTTTGCAAAATATTTACAAGGTGGATAAATATATGATACAGAACATTATTTGTTAGCTGGGCAATAATGTCAGCGTTTCTACAATAAAAACTATAATCATGTGCACACAAACTATATTTATTCAGAACACTTGATAGATGTGATTTATGTCACAGAAAAAAGTATATTAAGATTAAATTATTGACATACTTTTAAAATGCTATATGTTCTAAAACGTCAATGAAAGTAACTATTTCTATGTGTATATTTTGGTTGCCAGAATCAGACCACTAATTAACGTTTGGTCCATTTTTTCATAGTCAAGTGATTGAACACACATAATTTAGCACTTGCATAAACAGAAATCATTGAACAAACATCTTGTAGAAAAAAATCAATTTCACAGAGCACTAAGATATCAATTTTAAATATAATTCGCATTCTGACAACTGAACACCATTTTTACTTTCAAAAACCATAGCCATATATAAAATGTAGTATACTTTCTTGCAAGACGGAATAGATTGTTCATAATGTACAAGTAACTGGAGTACATGTACATGCATGTTTAGGATTTCTTGAGGAGACATATTTCTTTATCATTATTACAAGCTATTTAATCTAAACAATTATCAGAAGAGAATAAAATATATTATTATTATTTTTTTGTCTTAGTAATATTCCAAAACATTAGATGTATGTACTGCAACCATGCAAAGTAGAAATGCTTATAGCCAATCACTAGAACTATTTTAAATAGTTTGTCATCACTATCCAATACTAATTAGATACCGTTGGATGTTGTCTAACATTGACACATATGATTGTTCTTACCACATTCAAGAATTTCCTGAAGATTGTTCAATAGTACCCATGGTCGGAACCATTATGCAATTTCAGTTTTCTCTGCACTAACCAGTATAGAGAAGTTGATTGCGCATTGCGCACTTTTAATAGCGCACTCCGAAGCCGATTGGTTCTACAGCAAATATCCGCGGTTCTGTGTTCCATTCAGGAACAAATATTGTGAAAGAAAAGATCACAAATCCAAGATGACTGCCGATCCTGATTTTGAAGCCGATGTACTCTGGCAGGTCTCTGACTTCAGCCCAAACATACATAACAAATCTATGTGTTTCTATGTGCTGGAAATGACTCGTGAACAAAAGATTATTAGTGTTAAAACAGGATTTTATTAGAACGTGACAGTAACCGAGGAGAGTATCAGATGTCTAACATTTAAATAAATTGAAAACTGTCTGCACTAAACATTCAAACGACGATTCAAAATTACTACAATTTTACAACTATAGTGTTGTAATATAGTTGCAACAGTAAACGCAAATCTTACTTATTAGAGTTAACAACTGTTTGTTTTCCTTTCTTGAACGCAATCGAATGTTTTAGTGTGTTTTTATGTTTCAAGTTTTTAAATGTTGGTTGTCATCCTGAATGAGTGGAAACTCGGGTGATCAGAAAGAGGGTGGAGAAACCATGTTAATTTGTAAAAGCCAAGAAACGTGAATATGCCTAAAACGTAAATGAAATATTTCCAAAGCTAACAGGACCACCGAGATGCGGCGTATTCTGCTGTACGGCCGCAGGATACGCCGCATCACTTGTGAAAATAACTTCCATACGCAACGAAAACCACGGGGAGGGTGTTGGGTTCTGTCATGTTACCTCCTAATTACGTCTCATTGCATCAGTAACGAATATTGCGAATGATGTATATTGCATCCACGTGCTTTTCACGTGAACAATTTTTAAATAGTTCAGAGAAGCAGAATGTCACACCGCAAAAATATTCTTAATGAGACGGAGCATCAACAATTGTGTTAATACTGTGAAACGGTACAACTGATACCGTCATTTTGCCACTGGAAAATAAATACGACTGCCAAATGAAACAATTTAATTGCCATTGAATATTCGAAAACAGACCAAAACAGCATATCGACTATATTAAATTGTAGTTGTTTCGAAACTTGTTTGTCTGTCATTTTCTATTGATTTAATTGAGAGAACATATGTATCGACACAAATTTTAGACTTATTTTGGTGTAAACAACTCAATTGACACAATTGCAACTTGGGTAATTGAGGGAATAAATATATTTTTAAAGTTTTTAAATTGATGTAAGAAGTATATCCCAGTAAAATATTAAACTGTTGACTGCTGAATTCGAACCCTCAATTTATTTGTACTTTATTCCAGGGACAGTGCCATTATAATAGTGTTCACGTTACACCAAGTACGGGCTAAGATTTAAGTTAATCTCATATATTAGCATATGAGATAGGCCCAAATGCGTTCACGCATGGGAGGAAACAGCGGTTAGCACCCCCCCCCCCCCACTCAGGATCCATAGGAAGCCGCATGCGCGTTCCCATTTTCTCGGGAAAGAAGGTACTTTTTGACGATCTGTCTCGGGACATTTTCCCGAGA